CTCCGTGAACTGTTACCAGCACTATACCAATTGACAATATCAACTGCTTCTTCAGTTAAATACATCGCCCACCAACGGAAATAAAAATACGGAAGCCAAAGCAGTAATATTCCAATTCAAATAGCATCCTTGATTCCAACTAATTAATATGACAGCCAGATCTTCATTTGTTTTAAAAAGTTATTTTGGTTGCATAAAATTAGGCGCCCTTTAGAAGAGTTTTTGTCATTTGAAACTAGACATAGGGAAAACAATGCACAAATCCGTATGTCTACTTCTAAATGAATATCTCTGTATAAATAAATGCGGATTATAGAAAGAGGGACAGAAACGTTTTTTGTCGATACCCATTTTTATTGATTTTAATTAGATCGTTTTTCTGAATTCCGTATCTTCCAAACAAAGGGGCCCCATACATGTTTGTGCCTGGGGCCCCCAATTGGTTAAAGATCGCTCATATTCAATACCATTGATCCCTGCACTCGTAGAAATCGATTGCCGAAGGTTTGACATCGCTGTCTGAGGACAAGGAACAGACGAACGGACAAAACCATCACAGCAGGAAAATTCCCCTAAGAAGTACAAACTATCTGCACGCCCACGCTCTATAAATACCCAAGGTACCAAAGGTACATGTTTGGAGAAATTAATCATCTTTACAAACAATGTTTAGTCCCACAAGGGGATCTAACAAATACTTCACTAATTAAACTGTCGTTATCCATGACGACATTACCTGATAAAAGCAAAGATAATAAGCATCGCAATTAGTGCCGCCTTATCGTTGCTCTGATGCCAACGCGTCCCTCCAATATAAACACCTGCATATAAAACAATGACATCATTTTCTTTGCTTCGCTAGTATCGTCGCTCTTATCGTTTATCGCAGTTCCAACATAAACATACTCTATACATGATATTTTACTTCAATTCAAAACAAAAACTTTATAGTGGATTTGGTGCATACCGAGCGAAAAGAAGTAGTCTCTTCAAAAACTAATTTGCAATTTTGGTTTTTTCGGATGTTCAAAATCATTCATAATTACTTCTCTTTCTCTTTCTAGTAGTATTTCGGCCCCAAAATTCGGAACTTTGCTTCAATTTAACAGACTGCGTATCTGTCACGGTTTCCGAGACCCCAATGGTCACCCTCGAATCTCGAATTTGGGACACCCTGTACACACAAATTCAAATTCGTGGTTACGTTAGGCGATGCTTGATTCGTTCGATAACAGCACTATCGAAGGTGTCAACAAAAATCTCTAGCAAGAAATTTAAAAATCCTTTTTATGGTCAAATGCATTACCCAATAGCAGGTAGAGGATCAAATGGTATCAGAATCGATAAGAAAAAGAATCGTCGTGCTACCTGCTGGCAAGACAAGTACTTACGATGTAGTAGTAATAATAATAATAATAATAATAATAATAATGCCCATCAATAGCTATGTTGGTAAGTATGAAATACATACTATCTCTAGATTTCCAATGTGAGGGTGTGAATTTTTATTTTATTTATTTATTTCTTTTATTTTTTTTTAGGACCCTACATAACTTCACCAGACACAGACACAGACACTAATCGTTACTTGATTTTAATCCGTGCGATTAGTTAACCAGGCTAGACCTGAGTTCTCACAAGAAAGACCGACCATAATAATAATAAATTGTTCTTTTTTGACTGAATATACAGGGTATCCATTATGTATGGAATATAGAATATATACCTATTTCGATAAATATCGAATGTATAAAATTTTTTCTATATGAAAGTTGTTTAACATTCTATTTCCCATAATGGCAGTGCACCTTTTGATTAGGCATTAGGCATAGAGATTTTTCTCTTCGATGGTGTAACACGTTAGCACCTTAATACAAGACAATTTCTTATTATAATCATATCAATAGCATTAATCTAGATATCCTACATCAAAATAAAACAAATGAACGTTCACGTTTCTTATTAAACCTTGAAGACAAAATAAAATTTGCAATAGAATGGCAACAAACGTACACATTCATTTGTTTTATTTTGATGTAGGATATCTAGTTTAATGTTATTGATGTGATTATAACACTTTTTTTTTAATTTCCTTGTATTAGGGTACTAACATGTTACATCATCGAAAAGATAAAAACAATCTACCTGTGTGAACTTGGCGCCCAACTTTAGAAAGCAATAATTTTAGTGATTGAAATGGATTGCGCTTCGTTTGTGCGCAATTGCATTTTGTTTGCGCGCTGCCGGTTTCAAAATTACGAAGGAATCAAATTCGGGGGGGGGGGGGGGGGGGGGGGGGGCAAGTTCACGACTGCCCCCAAGTTTACAAATTTCACTTTTTTTTCTTGGGATCGTTCGCGCCCCCGTAGTTTTTGAGTTATTCCAAATACAAAATTCCATACTGGCCCCCCATTTTTCAACTTTGCCATTTTTTTTTCTTTTGATCATTTGCGCCTCGTCGCGCACTGTAGTTTTACTATGATTTACATGGCTTCCCCTACAAAATGAAGTTTTGTATTATACACGAGTATAAAGCGTAACTAGCTTTTTGTAGTCCACCTTTCACTCAATGCCTCAATGGTTAAAAATCCCGTCTTGTATAATAAATAAATAACTATTGATACAGCTAAAAGTTTAGTTATCATTCATGTTCCTTTATAACGTTATAAAATCTTAGCTTTTGATATTCTTAACGGTATTTATGCTCCAATGTAATAAATCATAGACAATCTAATTTTCAGTTTCGCTATCGCTGCGGCGTCAATAACTTTGAGTTTTGGCTTTATGCTGTCATGCTCTTCCAAGTAGCCAGTGATGCGTCGACAATAAGCAATATAGTGACCAATACCATCACCAAGTGAGGGCTCGTCAAATAATCAAATTTGAACAATTATGAAATTTTGTATTTGGAATAACTGGAAAACGGCGGGGGCGGAAACGAAGGTATTGGGAGCACAAAGTAAGCGCAAACGATCACAAAAAAAAATGTCAAATTTGTAAACAGTAGGCAGTCGTGAAGTTGCCCCCCCCCCCCAATTTGATTCCTTCGTAATTTTGAAACCGACAGCGTGCAAACAAAATGCAATTGTGCGCAAACGAAACGCAAACGATCAAAAGGAAAAAACCGCCAAATTTGAAAAATGGGGGGCCAGTATGGAATTTTTATTTGGAATAACTCAAAAACGACGGGGGCGCGAACGATCACAAGGAAAAAAGTGAAATTTGTAAACTTGGGGGGCAGTCGTGAAATTGCCCCCCCCCCCCCCGAATTTGATTCCTTCGTAATTTTGAAACCAGCAGCGCGCAAACAAAATGCAATTGTGCGCAAACGAAGCGCAAACGATCAAATGGAAAAAATGGCAAATTTGAAAAATGGGGGGCCAGTATGGAATTTTGTATTTGGAATAAGTCAAAAACGACGGGGGCGCAAACGAAGGTATTGGGAGCGCAAACATGCGCAAACGAAGTGCAATCCATTCCAACCACGAAAATTATTGCTTTCTAAAGTTGGGGGGCCAAGTTCACACAGATAAAAAATCTCTATCAAATGAGGCTAATGAAAAGGTGTATGTAATTGTATTTCGTTACTCGTTTGTTTTCTGAAATAAAACAACTGAATGCTGCCTTATTATGGGAAATAAAATGTTAAACAACTTTCAGATAGACAAATTTTGTATACATTCGATATTTACCGAGATATATATTCCATACATAATGGGCACCCTGCATGCATACAAGAAAAAAAGATGTATATATCCGTAAGTAAACAATCTTAATCGGCCAAAAAGATCAATTCGCCTAAATGCAGAAAGGTCTGCATCAAGCGGATACCACTGACCTTGACAAACGAACAAAAAACATAAACGCAATACACTCGAACGTAAAGAAAAAATGAAAGAAACAGGAAGAAAAAAAGGAAATGTATATTACGAGAAACATGCGTGGCGCTGGCGACTACAGTACTGGAACGGGACTCAAAGCAACTCGCGGTGGCGTTGAAGAGAAGGTAGTGAAGTCGTTCCGAAGAGAGTAGAAGGACTCTCGTAGTAATGAAGATGGCGATGGAAAAAAAAGCATAAACGAAGCTATGGAGAGTGCTGGATAAAGGTTAGGGAGGCAGCGAGTGATAGCAAGATCTGCACAATGAAGGTGGCCCTAAGTCTGTAAGAGGTTGAAGAAAGTCAACATAGTATCTTTATGAGCAGAATAAATTTAAAGTTTTGCTTTTCGATGAGACTGACTACTTAAAATCATCCAGGAGAAAGGTCTTGCTGAAAGTTCGGTTTTTCGAGTTCCTGAATGCGAAAGTTGCAGTAGCAAACATTTTTGAAATGTGCCAGTAAAAGGGAAAACCCATTCTCCCTACTCGCAATGTACCATGTTTCACACAAAAACGAAGTTTACGTTTACATTAGTTTTAGATTGAGACATTGTAAAAATAATCTCTGATAAAGATAGAGTGTTTTTGGCGCCTAATTATATTTCTAGTGCAATAAACACTCGACCATTAATAAATTAACTCCCATTACAAAGAACAGTTGCATGCAATGAATTAATACGAGATATCTAATCCTGTCACTTTGACAAAGTTTCACCGCAAGCCGCGCGTCGACAATGGCTCTTTTTAAATACAGATTCTGCAATATCACTTGACATTTAGAACACTAATGAATAAACAATAACGCCTTTGTTTCGTTTAAATAGTGAGCAATCATCATGACAGGCTATCCATAAACGTGTTTCAGTTGAACCAGACGCATGAATAACATTTCGATTCGCGTTTTTAGTAGTACGCGATCATAGTGCCAAGAAAAATATTACGAGACGCGGTTACTTTTAGTCTACAAACGCGACCGATAATTTTAGATCGTCCATTCTAAATTCCACGTCCTGGCCAACGCGGCGCGCCGCCCGGCGATAAAACAAAACGGTTTCGGCGGAAATTCCTATCGTTCCTTGCACTTATTTACGTAACGTTTCGAATGTAGATTAGACGTTACCTGAGTTCGTCGTTGATTATAGCTAAGGGTGACGGTTCCAGTTCCCGTAATGGGATTTTCTTCGATCCGCACGACCGTACTATCGGCAAGGCGAAGTTCCGGACTGCGTTCCGCCGAGTTGACAAAGTCTTCCGTTCGCATGTCCTCGACCCGTCTCAGTTCTCCGTTCGCTAGCTGTATAAGGGAGCCTTTGGTGAAATTTCCCACGGGCACGACGTTGCTGGTTCCAGTTTTGGCGGGCGATCGCGGCGGCGAAACGGTGGCAGTAAGTCGTTTCCTGGTGGCTTCGGACAGTTTCGGACCATCGTTCGGTTTCTGCGCGTCCGTCGAGTGTCTTAGGTGGATACTATCGCCGGGCCTCGTCAGAATTCGGTGTTTTAACGAGCCCTCTTTTCCGGATGGCACTTTAAAGCTAGGGGACGGTTTGCGCTCGACGCGCGTTATGGTTTGGGACGGCTGCTGCTGTACAACGGCAGGCGGGCTGAAGGTGGCCGATGGCGTTAGAAAAATGGCAGAACCGGTAGCTGATGGCGTCGTTGGCGTGTACGGAGGTTCTAGGGGGGAGAGAGGGGGAGGTTGAGGGTAGTTTGCACGGAGAGGAGGTGTGTACGGCGGTTGGTAGAGAGAGGTGTATGGTCCAGAAGGATGGTACATAAACGGAGGTGGGGGTGGAAATAGACGAGAGTAGGCCGAGTATGGCAGTTCTTCTGTGGATTCTTCTTTCTGTTGAGTTAGATTAACCGGTGTCGCAGCCGGTGGAGATGGGTATTTGCTCGGTTGCCTTTGAGGTTGCCTCGTTCCATTTAAGGAACTACTAAGGTGTACGCCATTATATCTGAAACGAAGCGAGTTATGCCAAACTGAGATGCGAGATTATTAAGACACTTACCTATTTGGAGGAAGTGGTTTTGGAGCTGGTCGAAGAAATTCAGGAGGTTGCTTGGGCGGTCCGCCCCAAGGTTCTGGGTACGTCATGTAGGGTAGGCGGCCCTCTATTCCTGCGGAAATCATCGGTTTTGCGTTTTCACGGGGCCCTCCTGTAAGGAAACGACCCGTTAGTAACTGCCACGCAAACAAAACCTAACCTTACTTAATTTACAAAAAGAATATTCGGAAAGGGTCGATGCTTTGCAATTTAACGTCGCAGAAACATTTATCACCCGGCGTTTTGTGTATAATGTAACTTCAGTTTAATTCATGAAGCGAGGGTGGCCGAGAATCGATCGCAACCCCAAAACGTTTTGTGTCAGTAGGTTACAACCAAACCACATTAGGTCCATTCATTACTTTCGTGTCGATTTAAACAAACACAACCCAGACTTCACCTACATTAAACGTACTGTAAAAAGAAACCAATTTGGAACTCTCGTCCAAAGGATTACTTCAAAATTGTTCTATTACATTTTGTTTCTACCTCTCGTTCACTAATATAAATATAATTGAGCCCCGATACAAATGGTGTATTTGCGTTTCGTATACATTAACGTCACGAAAATATATCTTTACCATCTATTATTTATTGTCATCCATGGAAATATAAAAAACTTATTGTTATAGGTCGGTCTAAAAATAGCGTTAATGTTTTAGGCGTGTGCCAACAAAGGCATTACAAATTGTTCATTGTGGGCGCTGGTTTGGACATTATTTCAAAACTTGGGAAGTCCCTGAAAGTGTTCTAGTAGTGAAATTAGAGAACTAATAATACCTACTGGAATACAAGATGAAAACAAAGGGAAAAGCCGAAAATGTAAAACAATTAAGTATAAATATGGATTTATTTGTTTTCTCTTCTTATTTCCACGTGGTGAAAAACCTCCTCTACTAAGGTAGGTAACGTTTGCATTTTTTACCTGTAGCTCTGAAATTGTCACGGTTTGAACGAGAATTAGTCGATATCGCGCAGGCGCACGACCAACATTCTCCCTCAAGGCGTGCATGAGGATCGGCTGGGCAATGCATTACAGCCACAGGGCAATTTGGGTTGAAAGCGGGGCTCAAAGAGTGCAGTAAACAGGCAAATAGTCAATTTCATCTTCGTGCACAATTTTGCTCCAAGATTATTTTGGTATTTTTGATGGGAAAGGAATCCGAGGGGTCTTAGATGGTACACCCTGTATAACATTAGAAAAACGGGAAAGCAATCTACGCCGTCTCGAGAACATGGACGCTTCTTACAGCCATCTTGGTTTGAATTGTCGTCGAGAGAGGATCGTATGACATGCATGCGTAGTCATCTTTACATTTCTTTATAATTTATTGGTTTGGTATACATGCTCTTGGTCCCAAGCTTAATTTATATATTTAGTAATTCGTTTAAATTTGTGAAAATTATCAATTTGCTTGATGTTTGTGTAGACTTGTATGTACATACACTAACACTTTTCGCGGTCAAGAAACAATCCCCGGGATGGGGCATACTATAACTAAAGTAGTTACGAGATCTAAAACTGTGGCTGATCTCGAATCTGAATTTTACGCTTACTTTCTCGCACGAGGGACGTGCTACCCTTTCCAGGGGTATGGGTCTGTTAAGATAAAACTCTTCCTTTTCTAATTTAACAGGTGTTTAAAAATAGACAATACAGAAACACTACAGAGACTAATGAATACTGAAATACCACAAACGCATTTCAACAATACATAACGTCTTAACTACAGTGTTGCCATTTTACAAATAGAGAAAAAAATTTACTTTTATGCAACTTATACCTTCTTAAATTTAGGGTTTTTAAAACACCCGTTATGTACAATATGAGTTACCATTCACTAATTTGCACATATTTCGTAGTTTAAACGGTACTATCTAAGGCAATGTAATTTTTCCAGGAGTACCACAGATGCTTGTAACCCGATCAGTTCTTTATTTTGCAACTTGCTGGGTAACCTGTTTTTACAATCAAGTTTTGTGTATATAATTTAACTTATCATGATTTATTATCAATCATTTAATGAAGCCAATTATCTTACTGAGTTGACTGCTAAAATAACTGATCAAAATGCGAAGGCTTATCCAATAAACAATTATAAGCGATTACAGTATTTTTTAGCGCATTTTCCAACTCATGTTGGAAGATTCTATTATGGCCACTTTCTCCGTCCGGCGGATTGTTATAGACAATGAATATCGGATCTTGTTAAAAATCAGATATGCGCATGCGCAAAATCATATTTCGTTTTTGTGGAAAGATTTTTTGAAATTTTAACCACAGATGCATCTAGTAAAGACAAGCATATTGCATATTGTGCATAACGAAAGTTGAGTTCGAGCATGCGCACACTGATTTTACTAAAACCTTCATCCTCGGCCCTTATAAGACATTAAAAATGCGAAGAATCTACTGTTATCGGTTATACAACCATTTTCCTGAAGACATTAAAAAAGTTAAAAAATCCAAATGACAACGCGACGTCGGGTGTGCCAATTGGGTCGACATTCTCACTGCGTCTAATAAAGTCAGAAAAATGCGCATGTCACAACTCGACTGAAGGCTGAAGGCGCAAATTCGATATGTTCAAATGTGTAGCTGCTCTTCTGAAATTTTAACAGTACACTGAGATGTTGATATCCTTCTCTGATAAAAGAGATCAGAACGCATGTCAAAATTCGATCAGTTTTCTTACTTGCGAAGTGACCCTTCGCACTAATACCGCGCGAACAACAATTGGTTCAGGGGGACAGCTGCTTGCAGTGCCCCCCCCCCCCAACACTAGACATTAGAAAAACGGTAGCATTAACCCGCCCTACTTAATCATGTGTGATGTTACATATCTGACAGTTTTGAATTTGAATTGTTCCCGCTTTTGTCCGCGGTGAAATGGAAAACTGCTACGCAACTGGAAATGTTTTATCGGGGCAGAGCACGATTCAAATTGCACAAAGACGAAGCATCGCTCTTGGTCTTGCGTAAAAGAGTGTGGATTGTTTCCTCGAGCGAGACAAAAAGTTGCGGGAAATTTGGTAGTCGACGAATCACAATTAAACAAGTATAAATGGTGCACAACTCTTGTGCAGATAAAGCGCATTTTTTTAAACCGAAATAGCTTTTGTTGTGACACCACCAATAGATATAATTATTTCTTGCAGACGTCTCCATCGCCCTTTGTGAGTACCCTCTTCCGACAATCCGTTCTTGAGGTATAAGGGAATATACCCGATCGCGATAAGAGGTCGAGGAGGAGGGCTATGGTTGGCAGAAATTAATTCCTTTCGTTGAGACCTTTCATTAGCGTACCATGAAGGATAAAACCCCCCTTCTCCTCCACAGAAAGGAGAGTAGTTGGTAGAAAACGGTCCCTTTCGTTGAGACCTTTAATTAGAATACAATGAAAGATAAAATTAATTGTAAACCTCCCCAGACCCCGTCGCTCTCTGAACTCCAAAAAGATTCGCACGGAAAAGTTATAGTTTATACAAACCAATTTATTTCGATGAGACCTTTCATTAGAATACCATGAAGAGTAGAACATTTTCTATTTTCTAAAGTTTAACTTGGCACCACTAAAGGCAGGCGTATACAAAATCTTGAGACCAATTGGATGTCCTCGTGGTTTGTCGTATGTAAAAGTTATGCACGTTTTACTTTCAAAAACAGCATCACAGGAAATAATTCGTGTGAGGGCCCCCCCTTCAAGGTATAGGCTACCTACTGCAAAAAATTCCAGGACTCTAGAACCATTCCCCTAGAAGTAGTTCAAAACGGTAGAAGTGGGTCCGGACGGGCGGACAAAACGCAAACAATAGCACATTTTTTTTAATTATTAAAAAATGCGCTAAAAATAGCTCGAGTGTATGTAGTGGTTCGCAATTTTCTTTGAAAATGTATCATTGCATGTGTAGAGTGTAGAGTAATGATTTCTGTCATTACCTGTCGTTTTGGTATTATAAATTTGAATTAGTAGGACTTTTTGTAAAGTTAAACGTTTTTAGACGAGTGATAAATTCAGGGGTTAATTACGTTTATAGGAACTTTATTAACTTTGATCCTGTCTTTGCTTCAGGTTAGATTTATCACTTGTTACGTAAAAGTTATTAGTGCCTGCAGCGCGTTTAGATCATTTAGGGAATGGCGTAAAATTGTAAATTGTACACAGTTAATGTGAAAATTTTCCATAGATGCG